AAACACAAGTTGAAAAGTGCTCTAAAATATTTTAATAAACTAATATGGCAGAGAGCTCAAATACACAATCACAAAGGATAAAAATGGCTACATAAAACAACTATTTTTCTCTCTATTGAGAAAAACAACCTTGAGGGAAGTGAAGCACTATACTACTCCTCCTCCAAACCCAAATCATTCTAAGAACTCACCTCCTACACATGAGCACTGTCTGATATTTAATCTCCAGATCTCTTTAGAGAAATCTGTTAGTACAGCAGGCACAACCTTAAAAGAAAGCTAAAAAAAAAATCTCTGAAGTTAGAGATTTTTCTTTTCTTCTATTTTTAATCCTCACCCAAGGATATGTTTTTTATTAAATTTAGATAGAGGAAAGGGAGAGAGTCAGGGGAAGGGGAAGAGAGAGAGCGAGCAAGAGAGAAACACTGATCAGTTGCCTCCCATACGTACCCCAACCAGGGATTGAACCTGCAACCTTTTTGGTGTATGTGTACGGGATGACACTGCAATCAACTGAGCCATGAAGCCAGGGCTACATATATTTTCTAAATGTAATGTAAAATGAAACTAAATTATTTAATGAGCTTCCAAAGAAGAAGATCACAGAAAATATATCTCTGGCCCTGGCCGGGTACCTCAGTTGGTTTAGAGCATTGTCCCAATATGCCAAGGTTGCAGGTTTGATCCCCTGTTAGGGCACATATAAGAATCAACCAATGAATGCATAAATGAGTAAAACAACAAATCAATGTTTCTCTCCCCTCCCTTTTTTCTCTCTCTAAATTATATATATATATATATATATATATATATATATATATATACACACACACACACACACACACACATATACATATATATATGTTGCTTCTTGAATGATAGTAAAGTAATAAATATTAAGAATAACAATTTATCATATAATTAGAAATTACATGGATAAGTCATAAATCATGTTGCATGTGTGTGCCATAAGTTTGTGTCAACATGTAGGGTGATAACTAATGCAAATCTTTTAAATAAAAAATAATAATAATTAAATGCGTTTTAAATTTCAAGCATTCACTCTGACAGTAGTTATTAAAATTCAAGCAACTTAAGTTATATGTGGAAAGTTTTCCCATGTTACTCTCATGCATAAAATGCCTCTTCCTCCTTTCTTTCTCCCAATATTTTCTTCCTAATATGAGAGTTTGAGGTCCCAATTAAATTGTGACCATGACTTTCTCATATTTTATTCCTGGCACACAGATTAATTCTGTTATAGCAAGCACTCAATAAATGTTACTTACTGTTGTCAAAAGAGGAGAATAACGGTAGGAAAGGATCTTGGGTAAATTACTGAGGTCTAACCCATTATCTCTCTGCATCTAGAAGTAACTTTTCTTAGAATCTTGTTTCTATCAGCATTCAATCCATTTCTAGCATAGGATGAGAGCTATGCTTGCTGACTCTCTGATGTCCCTGATTCTGCATACCTACCTAGGCCTACATTTGCTTTCATGTCTTAGATGGAGTCCATAAACTCGATCATTATAGGAATTGGACATATATGGAGATCACTCTGGACACAATGACCATTCATTATAGACAGAGACATTACCAAAGGAACAACTGAGATGATCATGTCCCAATGGAAGATCCTACCACTGTTCTACCTATTTTCCTTCTAGTCTCATTAAATGAACATGACAGGCTGTAACTATGGCATTCAGGTCAGACAGATTTTAGCATTAAAAGCTGATTCTGAAGAATGTGTGTAAAGTATCTTCTCAAGTCATATTAAATTTATTGACCTCCCCTGGCTACCAGTTTAGCAAAGTACATCCTGACCTCACTGCCATGGAACTAGACCAAGGATGGGTTTTCCACAGTGTTCTGGGAGGAGTACTAAAATGTCCTTAGATTAAGTCCAGCCCTATCTCATATCCTTGTTATGTTTGCACAATCTGCATGACTAAATAGCTGCTTGATTTTCTAATTCATACTCCCCTTTCTCACTAGGGCTTAAATCCCATTCTGAATCTCAGCCCTTACACCCAGAAGGCAACATCCTGACTCCCAGTTCCTTATTTACATAGATACTTAAAAACAGAGTGAAGGAGAAAAAAGGGATAATTAGATAAATTATGTGGTTTTCCTTGTCATATTCACTTCCAGGAGATTGTTCATTTGACCCCCTCAAACTTTGGATGATTATTTTGCAAAAACTGTCCTGTTAAATGATTCTGGGTTCAGACTACGTGGGATTACAAAATGAGTACTATGATGTTTATTAATCCCTGTAATGTTTATTAATCCCTGGCTAGGGTACTACTTCACCCACACAGAACACCTGGAGCCAAGATCCCGCCAACAATAAATCAAAATGTTGCCAGAACACAGAGTCCTATTGCAGCATCCCATTTATCAGACTGGAGCCCCTACAATACTAATTCTTCTGGATTTGGACAATTCCCTGCAGATCCCACGATTTCCACTGCAGTTCTACAACGGAGTTTGTTCCCCCAAGCTAATTTCTCCCATTTCTATCTTCTTCCCTCTCACTAATGGGTTTCGTTGCTATGAAGCCTCCCCTCACCCCCCATCTTTGACCCTCTGCCTGCACTGGAAATTACAGAAGAATTTGATCACATTTACTCTGAGAAACCATAGTATATTATTTACTCTAAACCATCTTCCTAAAGTTTTGTATGCCTTATTTACATAGTTTTAAAAATAGAGTGAAGGAGAAAAGCCACTTAAATTAGTTAAGTGGTTTTCCTTGTCATTTATTTCCAGTGGATTATTTGACTCCTCAAACTTTGGATGACAAAATAATTTATTTTCCAAAAACTATCCTGTCAAATGATTCTGAATTCAGACTATGTAGGATTACAAAATGAGAACTGGGATATCGACTAGTGCCTGAACAGCTCTAAATTCCTTCTAAGAATTAGCTAAAGTCCTTTATGCTCTGGTTTATTCCAAACCAGGGACCCCAAGGTTTAGAATTAAAATGGCACACATGAAAGCACATTCAAAGTTCAGAATTGTCTGGAAATGGACCACATACACTTGGAAATTTGTTGTAAGCAGTATTATCAATCAGTGAAGAAAAGATAAATTATTTAATAAATATTGTTGAGACAATTGGCTATTTGGAATAAAATAAAGCTGAATTCCTAATGGACTCTTTTCATTAAATTCCAGATGTATTACATATGTGACTATAAAAATCATTAAACTACTAGAAGAAAAGATAGGTTAATTTATTTGTAAGCTTAAGTAATTTTCTAAACATAACTCAAAGTTTAGAATATATAAAAGACTGTTCAGTTTGGCTACTTACAAATTAAAAATCTGTACAGCCAAAAATACTATTAAAAAGTCAAAAGATAAAGAAGTTGAGGAAAATATTTGGAAAAGATGAGAGCTAAAAGGTCAATGTTCTCAATAACTAAAGTTATTATAAATCATTTTAAAGGTGGATAACTGAATAGAAAACATGTTTACAAAAAAAGAAATGCAAATGGCCAAACTAATTGTCAAAATATGTTCATGCTCCCTAATAATCAAGAAAATATGAATTAAAACAAGAAATAATATTTTTCATCTGTTAGATTAGCAAGATTATGCAACATGATAACACCCTAATTTTATAGTGTCTGGTTTGGTAATGTAATAATTTATTATTAGGGAGTAATTTGGTACAATTCCTTTAGAGGATAATTTTTCAAATGAGACATGAAAAATATAAGTGCACATATCCTATGACCATCGAGTCCTCTTCAAGGAATTTATCCAACTCCCACAAGTGTGCAGATATCTATTCATGAGTGTTCACTGTAGCATTGCTTGTAATAACAAAATCTAATTAGTGATCATTAGAACCATGGGGAAATAAATCAAATTATATGCCTCCATTAAAAACGATCATGTAGCTCAGGATATACTGATATAGAAAGACTCCTAAATATACTGTTAAAGGGGGGAAAGGCTGTAGAACAGTGTTTTGAGTTAAAATACATACACACACAAAGATATATATATATATATATATATATATATATATATATATATATATCTCCAAAATATCTGGATGTTTGCAATAACGTGTTTTATCATGGGGGAAACTAGGGGAGGGAGGGAAGCCTCAAAGTCAAATATAAAGATTAAAAATAAGGCGGCCAGCAACAGGTCAGGCTAAGTTATTGGCCTTGTTTATTAATTTTTGCATGACATTCATTCAAGAAGTGCCCTGATTAGTCACTGAACAACCTGGGAATCGCTCAAGAGGCTGTGCGCTAAGATTGCTCTGCTGTTCGGTGGTGATGTTTCTTTCGACCTATAGTCTTTTAAGCAGGAACATCTTTCAGTTATTCATTTAATCATGATACCTGTATCTCCCATTCCCGCGCTGATGGCCTTGAATTGAGAATAAATTTTTAAAATAAGATGTCCTTATGTAACTTCCTGAAACAACCCTGTAACACCTGTGCAAAACTGAATTTGTTTTTATTCTGTAAGAAATCTCTAAAATTGAATGACATTTCCTGCAGCTATAGAAAAGACGTAAATATAAACCGTTCCTTCCCTGTAAACCAGAGGTCGTTTCAACCGCATTTCTTGCCAGCCCTTTTTCGTGCAAAAAGAGTTTTTCCAAGTCATGTCAAAGATCCGTGAACCACCAGAAACTGTGAAGAGTAAACGGGCCTGAAATCCACCACAGCTTCCCACGTTTTCTCCTTCCCTTGAGAGCCAGGTGCGTCTTTAGACCACTGGAAATCAGTAAAAAGCCTCCCCGCAGCGACAAACGAGTCAAAAACAGAGCGCAGAAAGCACCTAGCAGGTTTTTCCCCCGGCAGGGCAACGCCTGCCCCCGGCTCCCTAGAGGCAAAGACCTTAGGGCGGGAAGGAGACACTGGAGACTACAATTCCCAGCAGGCTTAGAGGAACAGGTCACGCACGCGCAGCCCAGACGCTCGGATTGAGGTCCTGCTGCGGGGCTTCTGGGAGGGAAAATGGCAGCTCCCGGGGTGCTACCTTGCATGGGCAGGCTCTCTGAGATGCCCGCAGCGCTGGGGCGCTTGAGCCGAGCTTACAGCAAGTCCCAGGCCTTCACGGAGGTGCTACAGCTGCCAAAAAGGCAATTGACGAAGCTCGTGTTCCCATTACAAGAACTCGAGCGGTATCTCCTCCCAGACTCGAAACCCGACCTTCACCTAAACACCTTCGACCCCAGCCTGGACGACATCGCGAGGGCGGAGAGCTTCTTTACGGCCTCCGCCCGGAACCGCGTCGAGTACCTCAGTTCGGCCGTGCGGCTCGACCACGCCCCGGACCTGCCCCGCCCCGAGGTGAGAGCGCAGCTGCCCGCAGGTGGTGGAGGCTTGGGAGCAATGGGCCGTCACCTATTTCTTGTGACAAAACCAGTTTTTCTGACGTCGTGTGGAAGCATATTACTATTTTAACTAAGTAAGCAAATCTAGCTTCAGTTATTTTGGTAATAATGTAGAAGACTGAGCGTTCAAAAAGTATCCTTTTAGTTTTTGTCCTATTTAATTGAACAAAGTGAAGAATATGTGAGAAGTATAATTTTCACGAAAGATGGGATCCTTCTCAATATGTAATTTTCACCCAATCGAAACTTCCTATCGTGTAAAAAATAATGATACCTAGATGGCAATAATGTAGATTTTAAAAAACAACTTTTAATGGCATTCCATGATTGTACATTTTATGCATGTACTGCAGTTTGATAATGTTTTGTTCTTTGGTCAAGTAAACCTCAGATCTCTTACATACAGTAAGTCCTCATGCTAGTTTCATGGAAACTGAGACTTGAAACAATATAACATATAACGAAATCAATTTTACCAAAGGTTAGTTGATAACAAACAAGCGTTATGTTCCCATGGCATATTTCTGGTCCCCAAAACATCACCTAAAATCTATATAAAGACCCAAAACATTTCTGATATCAGTCATTGAAGTAAATGTGAATTATATGTACATTTCTGAACAGTTAAAAACAGGTAAGGTAATTATTTTCCAAGCTGTGTGTTCCAGTTCAGGGTAACAGGGCCAGAGCCTCTTCTGGCAGCACAGGGTGCAAGATAGGAATCAGCCCTGGACAGGAGGGCTGTCAAGATGTCTTGAGTTCAAATTTCAACTCAGTCACTTTCTAGCTGTTTAATTTGGGGCCAGTTCATTAACCTCCTCTGCCTCGTTTTATTATCTATAAAATGAGGGTAATAATATTACCTATCTCATAGGGATGTTGTAAAAGGTAAATAAGAAAATATATGTTAAATGCTTAGAACAGCACCTGGAACATTTAAATGATTGAGTACATAGTAGCTATAGGTTAGAATTTGAGGTTTGACTAAGCATAAGCCACTTTTAATGGCTAGGCAAGACTGAATAGTTTGACAGGTTCTTGCAGCTAATACATTATATATGTGTGTGTGTGTGTGTATATATATATATGTTAAAATAGTACTCAACTATCTTCTATCTTTTTATTGAATTTATTGGGGTGACATTGGTTATTAAAATTATATAGGTTTCAGGTATACAAGTCTATAATACACTATCTGTATATTGTATTGTGTGTTCACCACCCAAAGTCAAGTCTCTCCATCACCATTTATCCCCCCTTTACCCTCTTCTAACTCCTCCCATTATACTTTCCCTCTGATAATCACCATACTATTGTCTGTGTCTGTGAGTATATTTATTTTATTTATTTTTATTATTTTTGCTTAATCACTTCACCTTTTTCACCCAGCTCCTCTTCTTTTTTTGTATAAGGTGTGTTTTATAGGCAGAAGCAATGTTGGAAAATCCTCTCTAATAAAGGCTTTGTTTTCATTGGCTCCAGAGGTTGAAGTCAGAGTCTCTAAAAATCCGGTATGTTGAAATTTAAAATCTGCCTGTACTATCTCTGAATTGACTAAGATGAATAATAAATGTTGGGAGGTACAAGAAATCATAATTGCCAAGTTCCTAGAAAAGTGATTTCTTTCAAACATGTAGTAAAGTAAGATAGTTCATCAATGCCTGTGTATTTCTTTGAAGAAAAGGAAATACATCTGGATTTATTTTAGTAGTCTTGCCAATATCTTGAGGAAATCTTCCTTGATCTAAATCTTTTCCAAAGAGTTGTTCTATGTTTGTTCTATATTTGCTTCTAAAAAATGGTCATTTTAGTTCTACATTGATTTCAGAGGAAACAATATTAAAGTATTTTTTTCCTCCTGTAATCTTTTATACCTTGTTAAATCATACCTATACACCAATCAGGCAATCCCCAGTCTACACTTAACCAAATTATGTGCTTATTACCCAGCCAGTCTGCTGTAGTAGCTTTCTGTCATTTTCTAATTTCCTTTACTTCCTCCTTAATGATGCAGACCAACATCTAAGATACCTTCTCTTCCATACTTAGCCTTAGTTCCCCTCACCTTATTATCTATCTATGGCAAAACATTCCCACCAGCCAAATGCTCACTGTCCCCTTTCCTTGAATTGGAACTCTTCCAGAAGGCTTCAGTAGTCCTCTCTTGCTCCTTAGTTCTTTATAAAGTTGATTCTATCACTGATGATTATTGTCATTTGTTAATCCTTCTCACGTTCCTCCTGCCCTGCCTCATCAAATAATCCAGCTACACTCTCACTTCTAGGTAGAGTGGTTCCCTTCCTACTGTGAGAGCACAATGCAAGAGATGTGTTTTTGACATTTCTAATCTAATTCTAAAATCATTTTCCTATAGAGACACACATAGCTAACTGGGAATCTAAGCACCATTTACAACACCTTTCCTCTGAAAATATTTGTTCTAAATTCCAAACAATTGATTTAAGATTATTTATCTTAATCTGTCCTTTTCTGATTAATAAATGTTCATAGAGACAAAATCATGGATAAACCACTTATCTGTATATCAATTTTAGTTGCACAGATATTTTATAGTGTTGTACATGCTTTTTAAAAGTGGTTTAATGACAGACCTAAAACCCATATAATGAAACATGTAAAACATGTTGATTTTAGGGAAGCAGTAAGCTGCGCATAATAAACTATCAGGCTTTGCATCTAGATTTTATGACTGTTTGACTAACAGTAAGCATTTAATTTAACTTACCTGTGCCATAATTCATTTCTCTTTAGAGATATATTACTCACCAGAGAATACTGACTAGTATAGTCACACCAGGTTAACTTTTTCACTGAGAGAGAGCTAATGAAATAGGAAAGACTCCATAATATTTTGCGTACATATTTCTAATATGGAATCCAAAGTTCTTCTTAAGTCATATATATTCTCTTAAAGTTATGAATTAGAGAGAAGTAGTATCAACTAAGCTTATCTCTAGCCATTTCTATCTTCTTTTCCTGTATCATCATCAGCATAGCTGGGATTATATACAGAATACTTATACATGTTAATACATATGATTGAATAGAAAATATTTTGAGTTATGAAATAAATAATGAACATGTTTTAAGAAAGCTTTCGTTTTTTCCATTTACTTTATCAGGGGCACACAAAGAAAATGAATTTTTTCAAAGTTGGAAAATTTTTTACATTGGTGGACATGCCAGGTTATGGCTATAGAGCACCTGAAGATTTTGTTGATATGGTAGAAACCTATCTAAAAGAACGAAAGAAGTAAGGAAAAAAAATTTTATAATAGTTGTACATTTAACCCAAAAGTATATTTTCATTAATAGAGCATCCTACATATAATGACCACTTCAGTTTTATCAAATGACTTCTTTTAGAAAGTCCATTTTATTCTCATAATATTCTGCAACATAATACTTAGGAACAAGGTATTATTGCTTGCTTTGTTTTTTCCTTAGCTTAATCCTGAATTCAAGTGTTTTTCTAAATTGAAACTACAAATAGTAGTTCAGCAGAGTTTACTAAATGTTTTACACTAAACTCTTTGATGGCTAATTTTGAAAATGAAAATTATTGGATAATGTGGTATTTATCAAATCCAAATAAACTTCTGTAAATTCTGATCACTCTTAAAGTACTTCTGACATCACATCCTCTGTAAATGTTACCTTATTTATTGATTAATTGATTGATGGATTTTGTCTCCCTTGGTAGGCAAATGGGAGTTGTATGTTTCAAGCTTTGCACTTATATAGGAACATTTACGTTAAACTTTTGAAGTATAAAGAAGTGTTAATGAGTAGTATCTTGCTTATGGCTTTACATAGAAACTAACATAAAATATTTACAGAAGAAAATACAAAATATAATGTGTCTGGTTTGTGTTATCTGTTAGTCTTAAAATAATATTTCAAAATTTAGACATTTTTATGATAACATAGTTAATTGGGTTCATGTCTTTTTCTCCCATTAGAGCTCAAGCTCTTAGATAACTGGCTCAGTCACCTTTGTATCAAGTCCCAAGTATAGAGTCATGTTCAATACATGCTACTGAAATAAATTAGTATTTAGTTAACCATTGGACTATAGGATAGACTTCCTGGTGAACTGAGAATTCCTTTTGCATAAAGAAATATTTAAATTTTGGATTGAAAAGTAGTTGAAGGAAAATGTATTAGTATAGTGAGGGTTGGAGAGGAAAAAGGAATGAATTTTAAATTGCCATTAATCTTTATTTCTTCATTCTTATAGTTTGATGAGAACATTTTTGTTAGTTGATAGTGTTGTTGGAATTCAAAAAGCAGACGATATTGCCATAGAAATGTGTGAAGAGTTTGCATTGCCTTATGTGGTAAGTATTTCTTTTGAAGCATGGTTGCAGTTAGATATATCAGTTCTCTCTCTCTCTCTCTCTCTCTCTCTCTCTCTCTCTCTCTCTCTCTGTGTGTGTGTGTGTATGTGTGTGTGTCTTTTTGATGGAAAAGTAGGTCTTGCCTCTTCAAGCAATAAAGGAGTATCTTTTGAATAATCTTTTTGATTGTTAGCCATTAATAAGTTCTGTGCTACTTATATTCTCTTTTCCTTTTCTCAGCTTTAGGTTTTTAAAATTATAGTCAAAATAAAGTGTTTTTTAAAAAGCTGTTTATTTAGTGTTCCTAAGTGCCTTTCTTTATGATTATGTTTAATGGCAATTTGAACATTTGTCTAAAGGATGTTAGTAGCTCTCTAACAGTAGCTTGGCAGATAGTACTTATCAGCATGTAAATAAAACTGAAAATTTTCTAAACTAATTTGGAATTTAAGAACCATTATAAGAACATAGCAGGCTCCAGCACACACAAGTAGGATTTTTATACTGTATTCTTAAAAAACAAACATTTCTTCTGGGAATATCTTACCAGTATTCTTTCTGTTCTTTGCTTTAGAATAGAATACAGATTAGTAGGTTGCTATACACATTTGTTTTGCTTTGTGAGTTTTCCAAATAAGGAACTCTTAAAAGTTCCTTTCTAAGGAAAAGTGAAGAACCCATTGACTATAATTTGGTTTAAAAAAAATGTCAGAAAACCACCAAAATGTAACAGTGGAGTTTAATGCAAATCTAACCATGTTACTAGTCCGCAACTTTTTTTATATTGCTGTAGTTATAGAGGTCTTGGGGTTGGCAAAGCCCTATGAAACATTAGTGATAACCTACAGTTATGAGGAGCCAAAGGATTGATAAACATAGTCTACATAATGAAAATGGCTAAATAATGCCAAAAGATTTTTTAAAGCGATAGTATTCCTGATTTGGTATCATAGGCACCAGTTTATGAAATCATATATATATTCTTCAGTTTTAACTTTAACGTAATATTACTTTCTTTTTTGATAAAGAGTTTGTAATAGAGGAATTATGTTTCCTTTTAAATATCAGCATTTGCCTTTATAAGGAAAGACTCCCATTTGGAGCGATTCATAGGTCATTAGAAACCACACACTTTTTGCTTCTCACTCCCTCTGTCATTTACATTTTTTATAATGAAAAAGATAAATGTCAGGAAACTTAATTTTATAGAAATTCCCCAGGAAAATCTGACAGATCAAGGTTTTACTTTTTAATTGATTTTGCAATCAGCTATGCCTTGACCTTCCCTGTGGTGTATAAATGTCTTTGAATAAGTAAATTATTCAGTGTAATTATTTACTAGTAAGCCTAGTAAGTTCTAGACTTACTCATAATATAACTATATATAACTTGGAATAGTGAATACAACCTACAAATAGCCTGATTTCTCATTTTTCCTTTAGATTACATCTAATATGGAACCATTTTGCAGGTCAAAAATAATTATAAGTTGGCAATTTTATACGAATCAACCTAATAATACTCACTTATATATCTTTGACCACAGATATAGAGTGATCATATGAAACATTTGGTGTATAGTAGTAGCATATAATGGCTCCAGGGTCCTTTTCACTGGTTTTGAATTCAAGGTAATATAGTCCTATGTAGTTAAAGCACCATTAAACAGCAAACACATAGTGTATGTTTTATACATTACGTAGATTAACTCTTTTAATCTTCACAGTAATTCCTTGAATGTACATTACTTTTATTTTGTAGATGTAGAAACAAGAACAGAGAGATTAAGAAAATTGCACAGGTCACCTAGTTATTGAAAATTTGTAGCTAAAATGTGTAAAACTGAATATTTAAAAATGCTTTATTTCTAACATTTAAATATTTGTTTTCTTACAGATGGTATTAACAAAAATTGACAAATCTTCCAAGGGACATCTTTTAAAACAAGTGCTTCAGATCCAGAAATTTGTTGACACAAAAACACAAGGATGTTTTCCTCAGTTGTTTCCTGTAAGGTAAGAGTTGAATTGTTTTTATAGCTTTATATACTAACAACTTTTAGTATTATATCAGTGTTTCTTATCATTTCTTGGCCTTTTGGCTACAATCAAGTGCAACTCATTGTTTCTTAAGCTGAGGTATCACTTAAAATTAGGGAAGTTTGCCCTCGCTGGTTTGTTCAGTGGTTAGTGGCCTATGGACCAGAGTCGAGGGTTTGATTCCCAGTCAAGGGCACATATCTGGGTTGCAGGTTTGATCCTGGCCTTGGTTGGGGTTGTGCAGGAGGCAACCGATAAGTGTGTCTCTCTCACAGTGTGTTTCTCTCTCTCTCTCTCCCCTTCCTCCCTTCCTTTCACTCTATCTAAAAATCAATGGAAAAAGGTGAGGATTAACAGAAAATAAAAGTAAAATTAGGGAGTTTGGAAGACTATGAACTCAGCCATTATTTATTGGTCCAACCCATCAGTACTTTTATTTTTTTTCTTCTCTATTCTTTCTTCCTTCTGCAAATTTTGCTGTATCTTCCTTGTAGGTATGTTCATTCTCCTTCTTCCTCAGCCTAGCTCAACCCTATACCACAGCAGAAGTAAAACTTTTTACTTCTTAGAATCAGCTAAACAACAACCACAATAAAGATACTACCATCCCTTTTTCAGTTACAAAGAAAACAACTTATCTTTATGGTAGAAAACTCATTCAGCCTATGAGAGATTAAAAAAAAAAAAAATCCTTTAAGAGAACCACATGTAAAGAAGAAATGCTTCAGCCCTGGCCGGTTTGGCTCAGCAGTTAGAGCGTCGGCCTATGATCCAGGAGACTCGGGTTCGGTTCCCGCTAAGGGCACGTACCTCGGTTTCAGTTTGTCCCCGGCCCTGGTTGGTCATACAGGTGGCAGCCACTAGATCTGTCCCTTTCACATCGATGTTTCTCTCTCTCTCTCTCTCTCTCTCTCTCTCTCTCTCTCTCTCTCTCTCTCCCTCCCTCCCTCCCTCCCTCTCTATCTGAACAAAAATGGAAAAAAGAATGTCCTTGGGTGAGGATAAAAAAATAAATAAAGTATAGCAGTTATAGATGTTGCAGAGATGATTTTATAAAAAATAAATGCTTCATATAAGTTAGAATTAAGTATTGGTAGCATACAGAATCATTATTTCCTGAGTGGTCAGTTTTTGAGATATTAAATGTGGTTTAGCAATGAAACATGAGTTTTGTACTTTTGTTGTATGCTGTGGGCTTAGTAACCTGTTGCAGAGATACAGTGCCACTCCCTGATGATTTTCTCACTCTAACTTCTTTGTGAAAGACACTATGAGAGCTGCTATTAGAAAGTAATGAAACTAAGTAACAGTTATATATGAAACTCTCCTCTAAGCAGTCATTCTAGGTCTTGCCAGTGCAAATTACATTTAAATTGTTTGTAATTATGAACATACCTGTCAAAATATCTCTTCACTCATTCCTGTATAATGTTCTTCTCCCTATACTTACCTTTGCGGATTTATCCTGTTCATTTGTCTGTGTTCCATATATACAATGAAACTCCTAAGAGCAGGAATGAAATCCTAATTCTTAGAGCCCTGAGCATTGTCATAGAAAAATAGCTGTTTATTTTAACTATTCAATAATAAGGAAGTGATACTTCAGCTCAAAAGACAACTCAAATGTAAAATGGGCAAGTTATGTCTAATAGCATTTATTGAAAAATAATGTAGTTGATTGAAAGGCAAGTTTGAATTAACGTATAATGGGGCTAGGAAAAAAACTGACAATGTTTTCTTGAGCTACATTAATATAATTATAGTGTTTAAAACAAGGGAATGATCAAGCAGTAATCCCACACTGCTATGAGCTCTGTGCCATCGGACTAATCAGGTTAAGATTGTGGCTCAACATTAAGAACAACTAGACATACCTGAAAACTGATGATCTTAGGGGAGGTTATGTCACTAGATCATTCAAAACACTTAATTGATCCTCACAGTAAACATTTCTATTTCACCGTTACAAGTCAGAGAAGTGACGTGAGTTCAGAGAGGTATTGACTGGAATGGAAAGGGCATAAGCCTTAGAATCGGGCCTTGGTTTTGCATGGTTCCTCTACTTCTTAGCTCTAGATTTAAAGCAACTTACTTCATTTCTGTGTCTTTTCTCACTAGTAAAAATGTGCTTGTTAGAAGGATTAAATAAAATGTATTGTGACTGATGTACACACAATATAATAAGTGTTAGTTTCCTTCCTTGCAAAAAGTCAGTCAGTCAATAAGTGGCAAGGTTGGGCCAATCACCCAGAATATCATATTCCTAGTACTTTTTAGAGGAATTCCCTTCTTCTTTTTTTCTTTTTCCTACTTAAAAAGAAAAAGAAAATTGATTTGAGAGAGAGAGAGAGACATCAGTGTGAGAGAGAAACCTATATCAGTTACCTCCTGTACACACCCCAAGTGGTGATGTTGCAAATGAGTTCAAGGTGTCATAATTAGTGTGTGGACTATCTAACTTGTATCTCTCCTTTAAACTATATATGTATAACTCCATTTATAACTCAAGAATCATTATAGGCCATTTGCAAGCAGGCAGGTTTGGTCAAAAAGTCCAAAATGCTATACATTATCAATAAGGAAATTAGTGCCCTGCTGGTGTGGCTCAGTTGGTTGAGTGTCATCCCATGCACCAGGAGGTCACCAGTTCAATTCCTGGTTGGAGCACATGGCTGGTTTTCGAGCTTGGTCCCCAGTAGGGACGTTCAGGAGGCAGCCAATTGATGTTTCTCTCTCATCAATGTTTCTGTCTCTCTCTTCCTCTCCCTTCCTCTCTCTGAAATCATTGAAAACATATTTAAAAAGGAAGAAGGGAATTAGCAATGCAGGCAAAAAGAGTTTATCTGTTTTTTTGTTTTTTATCCTCACCCGAGGACATTTTTCCATTTTTTTATTCAGATAAAGTGGGAGGGAGAGAGAGAAACATTGACGTGAAAGGAACACATTAAGTGGCTGCCACCCACACGACCAACCGGGGCCGGGGACAAACGGCAACCGAGGTACATGCCCTTAGCGGGAGCCGAACCCAGATCTCTCTGAACCGCAGACCAATGCTCTAACCACTAAGCCAAACTGGCCAGGGTGAGTTTATCTGTTTTATATACTGATGTATACCATACCTATATCCATAAAAGTCCATATATCCCGAGGAACCATGTCGTCACTTTAATGCTGACACATGGATGAATGGATATGGATGGATATAATAAGACAGATAAATGACAAATACAATAATGGTGATGATAATTTTTTTAAATCATGAAAAAAGGTCTAAATTATCAAAAAGATTGCATCTTGTCATAAAAAGAACAACCTAAAAGATCAAACCATTTAGTCTGGGGAATAAAAGGAAAATAGAAGATATTCAAGTGGCATTTTTCACAGAAATAGAATGAACAATCCTAAAATGTATATAGAACTACAAAAGACTGTCAATAGTCAAAGCAAACCTGAGAAAGATCAACAAAACAGAATAAGGAGTCTAGAAATAAGCCCACACATAATGGTCAGTTAATTTACAACAAAGAAACCAGGAATATACAATGGGGAAAGGACAGTCTCTTCAATAAATGGTGTTGGAAAAACTGAACAGCCACATGCAAAAGAATGAAATTAAACTACTATATACTGTACACAAAAATTAACTCAAAATAGATTAAAGACTTGGATGTGCCCCGGTCAATTTGGCTCAGAAGTTAAAGCATTGGCCCACAGACCAAAGGGTCACAGGTCAATTTCCAGTCAAGGACCAAGGGTCACAGGTTCGATTCCATGTAGGACACATACCTGCGTTGCAGGTTTGATCCCCAGCCCGGGTCTGGGTTGTGCAGGAGGTAACCAGTCAATGTGTCTCTCTCACATCGATGTTTCTCTCTCCCTCTCCCCTCGCCCTCCCTCCTTTCTTCCCTCCCTTCCACTCTACCTAAAAACCAATGGAAAAATATCCTCAGGTAAGGATTAACCAACAACAAAAAAGACTTGAGTGTAAGACCATAAACTCCTAGAAGAAAACATAGGAAGTAAGCTCCTTGCCATTAGTCTTGGTGATGATTTTTTTGGATCTGATTCCAAAAACAAAAATAAACAAGTAGAACTACATCAAACTGAAAAGTTTCTGCACAGCAAAAGAAACCATCAACAAAATGAAAATGGTACCTACTAAATGGGAGAAAATATTTAAAAATCATATATCTGATTAGGGATTAATACCTAAAATACAAGAAGAACTCATACAACTCAATACCAAAAAAAAATTATACAATTAAAAAATGGGTAAAGGATCTGAATAGAACCCTTCCAAAGAAGACATACAGATGGCTAACAGATACATGGAAAGATACTGAGAATCATTAATCATTAGGAAAATGCAAATCAAAACCACAATGAGATATCACCTCATGCCTATTAAAATGGCTGTTATCAAAAAGACAAGAAATAAGAAGTGCTGACAAGGATGTGGAGAAAAGGGAACCCTTGTACACTGTTGGTAGGAATGTAGATTGGTACTTCCATTATGGAAAAAATATTCATTTCTGGATATTTATCCAGTGAAAATGAAAATATATTCAAAAAGATATATGCACCCCCATGTTCACTGCAACATTTTTTTCAATAGCCAGGATATGAAGCAACTTAAGTATCCATGAATGGATGAATAAAGAAGAGATGGATAAATACATAATGGAATACTATTTGGCCATAAAAAAGAATGAAGTCTTGCCCATTTGCAACTACATGGATAGACCTTGAAGGCATTATGCTAATTGAAATAGTGAGAGAAAAGACAAAACCATATGATGTCATTTATATGTAGAATTTAAACAACAAAAAACCAAGCTCATAGATACAGTGAACAGATTGGTGGTTGCCAGGGGTGGGGGATGGGTGGTGGGAGAAATGGATGAAGGGGATTAAAAAGTAAAAATTTCCACTGTAAAATAAGTCCTGGATGTAATATACAGCATGGTGACTTTAGTTAATAATACTGTTTCATATTTGGAAGTTACTAAGAGTAGATGTTTTCGTTTTCTTTTATTTCCCTCCCTTCCTTCTTCCCTTAAGAAAGATCTTAAAAGTATTGGTGCCCTGGCCGGTTTGGCTCAGCGGTTGGAGCATCGGCCTGCGGTACACAGAGACCCGGGTTCGGTTCCCGCTAAGGGCACGTACCTCGGTTGCAGTTTGTCCCCGGCCCTGGTTGGTTGTGCGGGTGGCAGCCACTCGATGTGTCCCTTTCACATCGATGTTTCTCTCTCTTTCTCCCTTCCTCTCTCTCCCTCCCGCTCTAGCTGAACAAAAAATGGAAAAATGTCCTCGGGTGAGGATAAAAAATAAAAATAAAATAAAAAGTATTGGTCACACACAAAAAAAATAGTAGACATGGTGAAATTTTTAGAATCATAAAGGAAATCAAATAGTGCAGACCACTAGGTTTAGAATACCACGAGATGGTGGGGAAGAGAGGAAAGGTAGGCCAAATTAGGATGTTCTCTTTCATACAGGAAACTCATACAAAAAACTTGATTTTTTAAGTTAGATGAGTTCATATCTGTTACTGTCTCTGAAGTAAGGAAGAAAATGACTTTTCTTTTCTTTTCACAGTGCTGTGACCTACTCTGGAATCCATCTGTTGAGATGCTTTATAGCATATATAACAGGAAATCTTAAGACTAATTAATGGCATCTACTTTAGCTGAAGATTCAACATTTTTATGCCAACTGGAGTAAAACACCTAGCATTTCAACATTGTTTTAAATGTTATGTATCTGTAATTTGTAGAGGATCAGTTCAGCTTTAAAACCTACATCTTCCCAAAGCAAGAATGAATTCGTGCCTGTGGGGAAAGGGTTTATAAATGATTGAATTATGCCATTCGTTAGAATAGATACTAACAGTTTTTCCTATTTTAACAAACTGACAAGAGCATAATTAGAAGTTTATAAGATGAAAACCTATTTACTACTGTGTAGAAAAGGGTTTGCCATGTTATTTATTGGGCTTTGTCTTTTAAAGATGTCTATAATGTATATATTTTAAATATTAAAATAGAATAGGTAAAAAGGATTTACTTTTCTGTTAAGCACCAATGGGTAGATTGAAGATAAATGCTCCTATGTATGCCTATAATTTATCTTTTTTCTGAGTCCTTATTTGAATATAAAAATAACTATTCTTGATAAAATTTCAGTCAGTCCATGGTAGAAACACCAATAAATTAAAATTCATGCTGTGATCAATCACTTTCAGGTGAGCATGAGATTCAGAATCAGATTAGAATTCAGGTTCCAGTTCTATTTGTTGTATGTTGAACTAATTACAAGCTAATTACTTGATTTCTCTGAGCTTCATTTGTAACTTTAAACTTACAAGCTGTGAAGATTAAAGTGGTGTATAAGGGAAAAGGACAGTTGCGAATTTGTAAAAGGAAACCAACTCAAGAATACAGCAAAATGTATGGGTAGATTTATCACAGATGATAATCTTGTCATGAAGGAAGTAACATTTTCTCTAGTGAAAGATAAAAAACAAGGAAACTAGTTTTAACTGAGAAAACTGATTTGCAGAGAGTGAGAACAAAGTCAGTAGGACTATTTAGAAACAGTACATTAAGATTCAGAATGGAAAGATAAAGCCTTACTCTGAACTAAAGTTAATGGAGAAGATTTTTATGAAGATGCTACTGACCTATTCATATAAGTGGCTTAGCTTTTCAACATGAGGCTGAATATTAGGTTATAGCAATAGCACTGGATAAAAAAAATAAGGCTGTAAAACAATTTTATGGCTTTTTTAGAAAATTAAATTCTTTGTTTTCAGTTTTATAGTTGATAGCACTGGTCTAACCAGCAGCATTTTAAGCTTAAAAAAAAAAAAACTTTATCAGCATTTACAAAGTAAAATATATGGTGACAGAAGAATTATCTTTCTTAGAAGTCATCTTTCTGCCTGCCAGTGTTACTTTACTGCTTGTCTTAGTCTTGGTTCTAAAAGCATAGCCCAAGATTTGCATGCAGTAGTTTATTTAGGAAGTGATCGCAGAGAACAGGGGTGATGGAGAAATGAATAATAAGGAAGGAAACTAATCAAGGATGCATTGAGTTGAATACTACATAAGCACTAGTGCTTTATCTTGAGGGTCCTTCTGAGGAGCCTTATGAAATCTGCCTTTGAATTGTTTTGAAGTGGGGAGAGGGTAACCCCACACTCTTCCAAGTTGAATGTACCCAAGGGCTAAGCAGTTTTGCAGCTTGTCAGAAGCCAGGAGGCAAGAAGTGAGAAGTCCCTGGAGCAGGAGGCAAGTTGCAGTTGTCTAGTACTACTACAAATTGGTTACCATGGCAGTGGCTGAAGTAAGAAGGTCAAGAGGATTGGAAGACACATGAAAAGTCTCACCACCTTTCTCTTATAAATGACCTGAGTGTTCTAATGTCACCAGGAATGATTACATTGGTATTCCCTATGATAACACCCGCCATAGTTTCTAATCTACTAGGTAAGTTATGGTTTTTGTTTTAGATTTCACTTTTAAAAATTTAAAACATCTGCCCTGGCCAGTTTGGCTCAGTGGTTAAAGCATCAGCAGAAGACCAGAGGGTTGTGAGTTCGATTCCTGGTCAAGGACATGTACCTGGGTTGCAGGTTTGATCCCTGGCCCTGGTCAGGATTGTGCGGGAGGCAACCAGGCGATGTCTCTCTCTCCCCTGCCCCTCTTCCTTCCTTCCACTCTAAAAATATCCTTGGGTGAGGATTAACAAAATATGCCCGGGTTCGATTCCCGGTCAGGGCACATGCCCGGGTTGCGGGCTCGATCCCCAGTAGGGGGCGTGCAGGAGGCAGCTGATGGATGTTTCTGTCTCTCCCTTTCTCTCCAAAATATCAATAAAAACATTTAAATAAATAAAAGATAAAAATTTAAAACATTCAAATTGAAGTTGTTTGCAAAATTAACTGATATAGACTACATTTCCTATAAATGCATATAAATTATCATTTTGTAGACACAACCTATGAAGCTTTTTACTATTTTTCTCAGAATTGTTAAGGGACACAGGATGAGAAAAGGAGATGAAGAAACTTACTCCAACGGAACATTAATGAAATAGAAAAAAGTGCTAGGTTTCTAGTCCAGTCAGAGCTTTATAGTTTTACCTTCTTAGACAACTCACTGAACCAATCTGGTTTTTCCAATGAGGGATCTTCTCCAGTCTCTTTCAACTACAAAACTTTATGATTCTTTTACAATAATGCCACTTCAGGTGAAAAAAACCTAGGCCCAAGGAAACTGACTAGCTCAGTGGAGTCATGTACAAATAAAAGCAGAAGGAAACCCGACCTTAAGATATCTATTTCTAGACTTGTCATGAATGAGATCTCCTTGGTGTTGTCCATGTTTTAGGGCACTTAGTAGTTACTACCACTTGGTAGGAAGCTTGAAGAAACAAACAATAAAAACTCACTCAATACTGATTAAGAACTGAACTAAATCAGGGTGTTCAGCCTTTGGGAAAAGAAGCTAAACCAATGTTTATCTGACTATTTCAGGTTACTTGCATCAGAATCACTTGGGCTCCTTGCTATCATTGCAAACTTCGGCTCCATTCCCTGGTTGTGTTTATCTCTTTAGAAGGGACTAGGAATCAGCACTTTCAAACAGCCCACTAGATGATTATCAAACAGCCTAAAGTTTGAGAAGCAGTGGTAGAGATAAGGGAGAAATATTCAGAAAGCAGGCAGGAAAAGAAAAAGGCCAGATAAAGAAGGGGAAGGAAATAGAAGAAAATGATAGGATGGCTGAGGAAAAGGATGCAGTACATACTAAGGCACTGTTTTATTTTTATAAGTCTACATGTAACATAAAACTTAAGGCTACAACCTACTTCCTAGTAATCTAGAACATTTGAGAAATTACCTCCAACTTCATGTAATTATTTGAAAATACATTAAGATTTATTCTCTGAGCAACTGAACAAGCAGCATACAAATATTAGATGGTAGCATTAGTCCCAAATTGTAAATTTACGTCTAGTCTCATTCCTGGGTCTGTTTTGTGTCTCCTAGTTTTATTTTTTCATTTAACTTTCTCACCTACTTCTACTTTGTCATCCTGTTGTATTTCATGTATAACTGAGTCACCTTACATCCTTTCTGGAATCAATCACTCGCACCCTATAAATAAATAAACCAAAAAAATTCCACAAACCTTTGGAAAATTCCAGAAGTATTTTAATATGCTCTTCTATGAGATAAGGTGAACAAATAAAGTGAAATAATGGTTGTGACCAGTCCCTGGTAACACAATTAGTGGCAAAACTTGAGTTCCTTTGATGATCAATTCTAACATTAAGATAGTACTACCATTAGAAGCTACAAACCTTGGTGTTCAGAAGTGGACTTACCCTAATGAAGACAGTCCGGCCAAAGTAGTCTTTTAGGTGCTTCCTTGCTATTCCCCACCTCCACTCCCCATTTATTTTAAGATGCAGAGTAGATGTTTTATAAACTTTATCATCTAGTTCTTAATTCCCTGGTTAAGTCATAAAATTATTCAGTTTTTCAGGGACCTACCAGTTTCAGTCAGGGAAGGAATTACATCTACTTTTCAAGGGCAGGATATGGTAGATTTTTCATCTTAACACCTGGCATTTAGTCAAATTTGACTATTTAATAGATAAATACTTGTCAGTTAAATCACACAAAGCTACTTTAAATGTTTATTGAACTGAACTGAACTGCTATACAATATTGCAATAAATCAGGTCTGAGTCCAAGTGGTGCTTTCAGATATTTCCATGTCTCCGGAGTTCCCCTTAAAACCGCAGAATAGTGGACTAGTTTGCTAATCACTTAGAAGTCTCAAATATGAGCATCTAAACTCCCATTAAAGCAAAAATATCATCAATGTCATCTGTCTCCTTAATGGTTCCTGATGTTTTATGTTTATTCATTTGCTTCATTGTCCATGAGTCAGTTTCATTTTCATTGCTTCCTGTAAGATTTTCATGACTTTGTTTCTCCTTAGTTTGTATGACAGGATTTGAAACTCTGCTACTCAAGAGTTGCTTACTGTTAGGGTAGAAATTAGTTCTATGAACTCTACAGTGTGAGAGTCTCCGTTTACTGGTACCTGTAGAACTCTGAGTCTCTTGAGGGGACCTTTGAATTTCCTTTAAAAAAGTCGACTGCAACTTTCTCTGCGGTTTTCTCTGTCTCGGTAAAAATGTATTCTGTGATCTTCTTAGTCTCGGATGATGCTTTGAAGTTTTGCTACCTGAGCCACGAAGAAGGCAGTTGCGAACAGATGTTTTTATGCACTCTAGTTTCTTGGGCAAACTTTAACGGACAGAGAGAAAGGAAAAATCTGAGATTATTAAAATGCAGAGAAAACATTCTCAAAAATGTTTGTCTCCATTTTACCAATTTCCAACAGAAAATACACAATTTATCTAATCCCATGCTTGTGTACAACCCCAGAATCATGATGAAAAATAAGGAAATAGGAGCTTAAACCTAAATATATGTTTTCAGAGCACAACTTCCCGCATTCAGGTTGTAGGCAAATGTGTCCCCATTATATTCCTGAAGTAAAGTAGCTCCTACAACTGCCTAGCAAGGCAGCTGAATGGTGAGATAACTCCATACGTTTCTGGCAGAGCTTGTTCCTGATAATTGCTAATCTGTTGATAATGTAATTAATAGAAAGAAAGAAAAACGTCTGTTAGGGTGCATTCATCCATTTCTAGATAAACAACTTCATGTTGTAGCAGGAACTGAACAAGGAAAAATGAATAAAAGTGAAGGAGTACATATAAGAGTGAGAAGACAAGGCTTCTGGCATAGAAAACTGACAGCTTGAGCTACCTGATTTGTGACTCATCGATCATCCTCAAGTATGGCAATTCAGAACTCAAATAGCTGATTATTTTAGACATCTTGTTTCTGTATAGGGGGCACTGCCACGAAATACACTGGTACCTTGTTAACTGCCTCACAGTGATAATCAAGTTTCAAAGATGAGCATGAGTTTGTGCTTCCAACCCCAACACCCTCCCCTCTTCCTTTTTAAACACAGAACTTTGTAGAAGCTCATTATGATATTAGTAATTCACGATCTCTGTTTTCAAACTATTTTCTTGTCTTAATATAACTGGAGAGTTTTAAGTGGGGAGACTGTAGGTACATTTCCCAATTGAAATAGAAAGTATGAAAACAGAAGAATCAGGATTTGAGTTGACTTCTAGATCTCCAACACCCTAAGCAAAATCGATTTGTTTCCTCACCTATAAAATGGAAATAATATTGCCTACCCCACAGTTACTGTGAATACAAAGTAGATTTAAAATATACTATAGTGAAACAGGACAGTACAAAAGAACATTATATTTTTGTGAGGTACAAAATAATGGTTTAACCAAATAAACACATTTATTATCCTTCTCATTAACTTTTAATGATTATCATCTCGGCCTTATATACTCCTGACATTAAACCCAGTCTTTAACAGAACAATTCTTTCCATCTTGGGCTGTGTCCACCCATTTAGATGGCAGTAGGCCTTTTGGGGATCCCAATGTAAAAACCCTTCTAGCAATTCATTCTTTAGGATACTTAATTTCTCCCATAGTTTTTCTTTCTTTCTTTTTTTTTAATCCTCACCCAAGGATATTTTTCTATTTATCTTCAGATAGAGAGGGAGGGAAAGGGAGAGAGAGAGAGAGAATCAACGTGAGAGGGACACATCAACTGGCTGCCTCCCACATGACCTTGACCAGGGCCAGGGACGAACTGCAACCGAGGTATGTGCCTTTGGCCAGAATTGAACCCGCAACTCATTGGTCTGCAGGCCAACACTCTATGGCTGAGCCAAACTGGCCAGGGCTCTCCCATAGCTTTTCATCAAAACTTGTCACAAAACCCTCACTATATGTCAAAATTTTTACAAAAATGGGTATATTCCATAAATTTTAAATTTAACAAATTTTAGACAGTTAAAGTAATTCATCCATGGGAACATTATAAAGTCCTGAATAAACACATGTCTATAACTACAGATAAGAAATCATGGTGGATGCACAGAATAGTTCTTAAAGGGTACATAAAATACTGGTCAGAATGACTGCCTCTGTGAAGGGGGAATAAGGATATTCATTGCCATTTGTGGCCGATACTGTTACCACAGGCAGCTTATTATTTTTCAGTAAAAATAAAACCCTGAAATATCTAATTTCATATATTATTTCAAGCAATATTGACTGGCTCATAATCAAAGATGACCATCTTTAAGCAGTTCTACGAAAGTAAGAAATCACAAGAAGGGAAGAAATCAGTACACAAAAAGTCTAGCTCCTGTGAAGGAACATTACCTGACCCTGACCTCAGAGTCTGGTGTGTGCCCTTGGAGGAGGCAGGCACCTTCCGCTTCTGCTCTCACATACTCATCCTGCTCTGAAGCTGGGGCAGATTGGCCATCTTTCCTACTAAAGCTAGAGCTCTGTGAGGATTAAGTCTGTCTTACACACAGTTGTATCCTGACACTCCTAATGCAGAATGGATGGAATGATGAAGAGCATAAAAGAATGATCCAATTAACCAAATTTACTGGACTCCCCCCAGTGATATAACTTTGCCCAGCAAAATAAAATTTCAGTTTGAATAGATCTCATGATTAGCCCTCGTTGGGCTACTGGACATCCTATTTAAATAAAGTTGACTTGAATATATATACTTTTGCCTAAATGACAACAAATAAAGGAATATAGTTTTTGTAATATATCCACCTATAACCTTGAGCTTCAACATGTTTCAGATGGTTACTTTTGAGAAGTTTGTTGCCCAGAAAAGAAGCCTGAGCCTTGAGTTTTTTGCTCCTGCACCACAGAATCGCCATCTGGATTTCTTCAGAAAGTTGTGTGAAAGTCTCAGCCTCTTGGAGTCTTTGCAAAAAACTTTTGGCACAGGGAGTTCCCATCACTTTCTGAGAAGAATGGTTGGTTGCATTTAGTTTCAACTGAGGATATTTAAACTCAAACCTGGCCTCCTGAAATATGGAAAGATGAGAAAAATACATGATTTGTTACTGAATTATAAATATAAGACAACAGAGAAAAAATGACTCACAAACTCAAAATTTGAAAATCCATCTTTTAAAAAGGAAACACTTTTTTAGCTCCCTGTTCTTTCCTTTTGTATTAAAAAACTAATTTTTTTATCCACTTCTCCTAACACAAGATTTTTTTCCCCTCTGTGCTACAATAGATCCCATCTGCAGCTGAATTCAGTTGTACACAGGAAACAATATAAATATTCTAACACAGATCTCTTACCAACACATAAGAATAAAACTCCACATCATTAAATATTGGTCAAAGCCTATCTGGTGGGGAAAAGATCACTGGAGAGCCCATTTTCTCTATATTACTGGACTATAACTTCTTCACTTATTCCTGCGCCCTGGATCACCCTCCTCAGGGATGGATTAATATTGGAAATAGCTGATAACTTCTAACACCAGTTACGCACCTTCCAATACTACTGAGTCTGTCCAGAACATTTTACATGCATTAAAATTGGCACAACCCTACGAGGTACATACTGTTGGAAAACAGAGGTATGGACAGGTCAAGAAACTTATTTAAGGTCATACAGCTAGTACAACTGAAGCCAGGACTTAAAGCATTTATATCTGAGTGCAAAGCCCATGCTCTTAAGCTACAGTACAATCCACACCTACAGTGAATCCTTGAGTCAGTTTGAAATTCTAGCAAAACTCTCAATAAAATCTTTCTGAAGGCATTCTATTAACTGAATTAACAGGATGCACTAAAATCCCTTAGTGTGCCTCCATTCAGAAGCACAGACTGACAACTAATATGGTACTAAGCTTAGAGGTAGAGACAAAAACAGAAGATTCAATCTCTGTCCTTGGTTAAGTGTCATCTACTCTATAAATTAGCCAAAATCATAAGCTATGTTAAAATAAGCCAAACCTGAATAGCATTGTGTTTCAGCTGTCTGCAGAAAGCTCTCACATCAAATTCTGACGACTTGTCTGTGGAGACAAAATTTATCAAATACAAAAACTTAGGCATACTATTTTCAAATCTACAAATTCTTAAGTGCATGACGGTATTTCTTGCCAAATTACTACAAAGGAAGTAAAGGAAGCAAGCAAAAAACTATGAAACAACATTGCCCAGCTGGTGTGGCTCAGTTGATTGAGCATTGACCCATGCACCAAGAGGTCACCGGCTGGATTTCCAATCGGGGCACGTGCCTGGGTTGCAGGTCTGATCCCTAGTGTGGGGCATGCAGGAGGCAGCCAATCGATGTTTCTAGCTCTCTCTTCCCTTCCCTTCCTCTCTCTCTAGTAAATCAATTTAAAAAAATATTTTTTTAAAAAAACAAACAACTTTAAAAAACACAGGTATTACCATACCTCTCTAATCAACGTGAGTTAAAATGAAAAGGTACGTGATTTCTTTCTACACAATCCATGACTGTATTGTAATGTCAACATTTCTTTTAGTATATGCTGTATCAAAGCATATTACCTTTGAAGATTTTCTCATTCTTTACTGGCTGTCCAAGGTCCACATTATTCTGTATATTGATCTTCATTTGATTAGCTTTTTTGGAAATCCTAAGCAAAGTTTCTTCACTGCACCTCGGTGACTGCTCTTTTGTTAAGAACAGTTTATTTAGCAATTTAGTTACTCCTTTAGCTGCAAAAGCTGTAGGCATTTTTTTCTTAAAGACCTCAAAATAGGGCTGTCCTAAAAATTCAACAATATCAGAAGGAAAGGTAAAATCTTTGAAGTAAGGCAATGGTTGAATCCTAGAGACCTCTTGAAGCAATCCAAACAGTGGCTCATATAAAGAAATCAGTCTTTTTAATATATCTTTATAGAGAACCCTAGAGAAAGAAATAGGAGCTCTTGAATTAACCAGTAATTACAATTTGCATATTACATAATAACCACAACAATTCAACACTGAAAATAAATGCCTATCAATCTGTTACTAAAGATAAAAAATGTTATAGCACATATTTGCAAATAGCCAGATTAGTCTAGCCTTAACAGAAAAACCCAAATACAAAATGTTATTTACAACTAAATAAAGTACTAGACTGAAAGCTATCTCAAAGAATAAGCATCAAAATCCTAAATTTGGTTTAATCTAGGTGGTAAGATTTTTGGTAGATTTCAGGTTCTTCACATTTTTTTCTACTTTTTAAAATTTCTTAAAATAAGCATGTATTATTGTTGTAATCAGCAACACTTATCAAGTTATTTTCATTATAGAAAAAAATAATGAATGTTTGACATTGTAAAATAATATGATTAATAATTTTAACACTGCTATCTCTAAGAATAAGCAGAATAAAAAACAAGATGATAGGAAATCGTATTTAAGATATCCAGATTAAGACATCAAAGCAAGTTTTTAATCTCCAAAGATAGAATTTTTGTTTTTTAGTTTTTATTAAACTGATTTTTTTTTTCAGAGTGAGAATGAGAGAAACATTGATTTGTTGTTCCACTTATTTATGCATTCATTGGTTGATTCTTGTATGTGCCCTGATCAGGGATTGAAATCACAGCATTGGTGTATTAGGACAATGCTCTAACCGAGTTACCTAGCCAGGGCTTGTTTGTTATTAGTTTTAATTCAAATTAGAGATAATAATCCCAGTTGTCTAAAATGGCCCAAAACAGGTCTCTTTACAAATATGGGCAGATTCCAAGTCCAATTATCCATCAAATAAGTTTCATAATATATATTGAGAGGTGCAAGAGAAGGTCTCTTTTGTTTGCCATTCTACCAGTGTTCTTTACATCCACTAACTATACCTCAAAAAGCAAAGGGTGCTTCTTTCCAGACCCTATGCCTTCTAGTCCTGCAGCAGGAGAAGGCTCTGCACCGCTCACAGTTCTTGTTTGCAAGACACAGAACTGGCTCGTTAATTAAGCAGTAAAAGTATTCAGTAAAATGGGAAAGAAGAAAAAGCAGTGGTGTTTCAGGTGGAGAAAAAGAATCTGGAATACATAAGGAAGGTCACTGCTATTAAAAATTAGAAACCTAAGGCAAAAAGAATCAAGTGATACAGCCTTCCCAGGAATACCTTCATTTTAAATAGGCCAGTTGCTATAGGATTACAGAATCATTTTTTAATTATTCCAGTTGCTAATCCTAGGAATTCATTTGCTTAATTGTTTAGTATTGAGGTAATCTCTTAGCTTCAATTTTAAAGTCTAATCTTTTTACATAACCATCAACACTTAGCTTCTGAATCCACCCCACATAAACTCTGATCAAATGAAACAGAACTCCCACAGCTTCAGCATCCCATGGGAAAACCAATGAGAAACCTAGGCTGAGTTAAAGAGATGAACAAGAAATGAAGGATTTCAAAGGTGTGTTCATACATACCATAATCTGCTTACCAGACCAACCATCACAAGGTTTAAAATAATGAATTCTTGCAAACCTAAGTGTTTCACAGTCAAGCTGGAGAATTCAGTTAAAGTTGGGAAACAAAACCACAGTAATTTGGATTTTTAAGTTACATTTATTAAAGAACTAGATTGGAAATAGAAAGAATTTTCTTGAGGAATTAAAGCCTAAAAACATGTTCTGTTTAACTCACGGAAACTTAAAAATAAAGTAATATACATTCTGCTAGAGCTCTCACCATTAAGTTTAGTTTTTAAAGTTTAGTTTCTAAGATTAAGAATTTCTAACTGTCAATGCCCTTAGGATAATATATACTAGAGAGAGACAGGCAATCTCTGGTGATGGTTGTATCAGACAATTCCTGGGGAAAGGAGGCCAAGCAGCAAAATTTTAAGAATTCCTATAGGTTATAACTCCTCCTAAATTTATCCAAACAATTCCAATTGAGATGAAGGTATTTCAGTTGATTTAAGGATACAGAAATGTTTTGCAGCAACAGTCTAACAAGCGAAGTAATAATTTGCAGGCTCCCAAAATCTTTATCAACACCAGTTCCACCACTGGTTGGCTGGGGATGACACATGCTTTGGTAGTTACAGGCTGATTTTCACTTGACAAAAATAGAAAAGTACATTACTTTCATTGTTAAAAATCAAGCACTTATACAGCAGTTTTCAAGAGCAGAGTTGCGTTAAGCTCAGTTTTAGGTAGTTATGCTCAATAATGACTCATTGAAGTTTATGAACATGGGTGTTTCAATATAATCTTATCATGTCCCAAATTTCAAGTCACTCCAGTCCCTCCCACAAGCCAACAAAGAGAGATTACCACAAATACCAGGTGCTCCTTATTAAAACAAAATTTGTATAGCTGAGGTATAATTGGATATAGTCGAAAACTAAGAAGAAAAAAATCCAAAGAGTGATCACAGCAAGAGTTCTTACCACAAAGCCCACCACAAAGCAAATGGATCACTTACTTGGAAGAAAACAACTCAGACAGATCTTGAATTGAACCCTCCAAATTCATGTTTTTCAAACGTTTTAAACATTGTTCAACCTGAAAGGGAAGAGCAGCTCAAATTCATATGCATATAATACAGACAAAGCCACTGATATGACCAGCAAAGCAAAGAAATCCACAATTTCAAAGTATGAAAATACAATAAATACCACAGAATACCTTTTTTTTTTTTAAGGGTAAAGAAATCCATAACCCAAAGCAACTGCTTCAGGTTAAACATTTGAAATTTATCCAGCCAAATAAATTTCTCAAATCAGATTATAACTAAGAATTTTTCATATGTGATGTTCTAAAGAGGACCAAAGTATGATTATTCTCAAGATTATAATTTTTCTGAAACCACATGATTTCTAATAGTAAAGCTATTAAAACAAGATAGCAAATTAATTAACTACTAAATTTCAACAGTCTTTAAGTGCCACAGAAATGAGGAAAGTGATCAGTTTATTCACTTTACAAATGTATACTGAATACCTACTACATGCGAGGCATGCTGGGAAAATAAAATAGTATATAAAACTCTTCCCAATCTCTAGTTGCTAAAAATCTACTAGTAAGTAAGTGGTATATACATACATACACACACACACACACACACACACACGTAGTATATATACATATATGAAAATTAAATACTAAAATAAAAATAGATGTGCCTTATTTAAAATTATAATCCCCTCAGCACTTGCCCTTCTCTGCCTTTTTCCTCCATAGCACTTACACCATCTGACACTTGACTGATTGTCTTTCTCCTCTCAACTGTATGTTCCATGAGAGCAACATATTTTGTCTATTTTATCCACCGCTGTACTTGGTACTGAGCATTTTGTAGGCATTCAATAACATTTTTTATCAAAAAAAAGAAAAAAGGTAAGAGCCATCCATTATACAAAATGTAGCAAGAATTCTTGGTCTTCAGGAAATGCCACACAAGGGGCATGCATGGGACTGCATCCAGGCTGAAGGATGTCAAGATCTGGATGGTCACTGATACTGGTAAAGATAGTGTCTTGCTAGAGCTACATGTATGCTACTAAAAATTCAAAGTTATAGATTCTCTCTTAACAGGATGGTTTTCAGAACAATGGTGGCCACAATCCCTAAATTCCCCGGAGTCTGCTCTTTATCATTTTTTAATTCTGGACACCATCCTTTGAGAGAAGTACTGACAAACCAAGATGGTAAAGCACCTGGAAAACATAGCAAGTGAGCTATGATCAAAGGGTGTGTGGGGGGTAGGGGGGTGAGAAGTTTAGTAAGGAAGAGAAAACATGGAGGAACATAAGAAAAGGAATTAAGACTATTTTCTATGCTCCACTGGCAGAACATTAGAGTGAAGCTAATTCTGGTATCTAGCTTTTGAAGGTAGAAAAAATAAATCTTAAAATAGATGAAAGTTCTTTGTAACTGTGACATGTTAAGCAGATATAAGGCAGTAGTAGTAATAGTAGTTGTAGCAGCAGCATGAGACATGTTCCCTACTCTAAGGGATGGTACAGAACATAAAACATGCACACAGATCTGCAACAGACTGTGCTAAATGCCATAGAGGAGCACAAACGGGAGGTCCAAATAGCCAAGAATCATAAACAGAAGAGGAGTTCAACTTCACTAATCAGAAGGATGCAATGTAAAATGAGATTACCACAATAAACACTCATGCTACCCTCTGGGAAGAAGTTATTACTGCTGAGAAGGCTTGAAATGGGACTTAAGAGGATGAGAAGGCCTTTATCAGGCAGAAATGGAAGGACTAGGCATTCCAAACGTACAGGCCCAGGTGAGCAAAGGCTCAAGAGAAGAAACAAACATGGATGCTCACCATGTTTGTTTCTTCTCTTGAGCCTTTGCTCAAGAGAAGAAACAAACATGGTGAGCATCCATGAAGAATTCAGGTTGCCTGGAGTGTAAAAAAGATGAATCAAGAGAGAAGCCTGAGCTAGGAAAACTGAAGGGAACAGAACATGGAGGATCCTGTAAGCCAACCCACGAGGTCTTGTCTTTATTCAGGAGACAATGGAGAACCATGAAAAATCAAAGCTGTGTTTTAGGATAATTAATCTGACTTTGCTTTATAGAATATGCCAGAGTGGAAGAAAGATCTGTTAGAACAAGACAACTAAAATTTGACAAGGTTAAAAAAGATGCAGCCAAAACTAAAAAAAGGGACTAGAGGCACAGAGTTTTGACTGATAAGCTGACTAGATGGCAGAGCTACATAAAAGGAGGCAGCAGAGAAAATGGAACACCAAATTTTCCTGGCTGGATAATTATTCACAACTTGAATCCAGGAGGAGAAATTTATTCAATCTGAGGTAAGTTCAATTTTAGAATTAAAGACTCAGAAGGACATAAAAGCTGCCCAATGAAAACTTAGGGAAAGACCATGATCCCAGATCTTTCTTTGATGAAGAAATCTTACTCTTTTTTACCTTAAATAATGGGAGTAGAAAATTAACCAGAGAGCATAAATCTGTAAGTTTAGAGACTGTGTCTTTTTCTCCCCTGTATACTAAGTACCAAGCATAGTGTCTGACACAAAGAAAGTTACAAAAAATACTTGCAGAATTAATAAAGTGAATCAATGAATGAGAATATAAAAAACCAGTTTAGGATGCTATACTCTTTGGCGTAGTCCCTAAACTGGAGGGTCCAATTTTGTCATACACTCCAAAAATTACATGAAACCACTTCACACAACTTGTTATATACCCCTTTACTCTAATATATTACCAACTGGATTATACACCCCACAATAAATACACCACAACTTTGTTCTTTTTATGCTTTTAGGATTTTGATTGTGCCCAGGAAATTATTTCTTAATCCAACACTTTGTCTTGATCAAATCACTGTATCTTTGAACTAGGCAAAGGCACAGTAATTTATTATAGATTGTGTATAATGAAAACTCTTCATAAAAATTACCCACTAGAGCCCTGGCCGGTTTGGCTCAGTGGTTAGAGTGTCGGCCTGCAGTCCAGAGATACCTGGGTTTGGTTCCCGCTAAGGGCACGTACCTCAGTTGCAGTTTGTCCCCAGCCCTGGTTGGGTCGTGCGGGTGGCAACCACTCGATGTGTCCCTTTCACATCGATGTTTCTCTCTCTCTCTCTCTCTCTCTCCTTCCCACTCTATCTGAACAAAAAATGGAAAAAAAAAAATGTCCTCGGGTGAGGATAAAAAAAAAATTACCCACTAGAAACAAAACTTGGAAAGAATTAAAGTTCTTATAAGTCAAAAATATTTAATTTGGTTTCCATAAATAGGAAAATATTAAGTAGCAGTGTGATCTCTATCTTCATCAAGTAAACATACTGAGTCTCAAACACAGGGCTTCCTCCTTACCTGTTTGAGGGCCAAATGGGGCTTGTGGCGGCCCATTCTGTTGTGATTGCTATAAAGGACTGCACATAGCACATCTGTTTCTGCATCTAAGGTTTGGCTCTTCAGTGACAGTGTAACCAGCCAGCATTCTTGAATTACAGCTGCAATACAAAGTTCTAAAGCAGAGAACTTTAATAAGACTTAATATGTACTTTTGCATTGTTTATTACATAAAAATACACTGAAAGAAGCATCTTTCCTTATTCATTTTAAAGCATTGATGCTCAACCTTTTTCATCTCATGGCACACATAAACTAATTACTAAAATTCTGGGACACACCAAAAAATATATTTTTTACTGATCTGACAAAAAATAAATACGCATAATTTTTATTCATTCACACCAGCTGGCTATTGTTTTGACTGTTGTCATTTTTTAATTTGACAATCTAAGGGAAAAGAGGTCAGTGCCTCTGATTAAATTGCATGTTTTAAAAATTCTTGCAGCACACGGGAAAATCGCTGGTCTGACCTTTCTGCGCCTCAACTCATTTTCAAATGGGAATAAAAATAGTACCTGCCTCTTAGGACTATTTTGAGGAATGAAAGAATTAATGTTATAGGTAAAACATCTGGAATAGTGCCTGATACAGCAAATAAACACTTAAATGATAGTTGTTATTATTAATATTAAATGCTTTTAACCCATCTAATCATCACATCCATCTGTCCTATAGTTTACAGATTATCTTCCTTCTTCCTCTATTTGTAAATGCCTTAACAGGATTCCTATTAGATGTGGAAATACACCAACTCACTCCCCAACCCCAAGGCAACCCATTCTGGCTTCAAGTAGCTGTTGTGTAGAAACCTTTGTGTTAGTTCCATCCAGGATGCTAGTAAACATACAGAACACAGTTTTTCTTACTTGGAAGTGGTTATCTCCTTCTGCTGAGCCCATGTTCAGTCAGTAAGCAATTTCCAGTTACCATCTAGTTTCTCTTTTCTTAATATATTCTCATTTTAAAATGGTTCCCAAATACAGTATCTTTGACTTTTAAGAGCATGAATTTATCCGTTCTGTCTTGCTTTTGTGCATAACAAAAGGGGGATTCAGAGAAGTATACATCATGTGTGCCACCTTCAAGGTACTTAAGGTATAAGTGTGCCCCAAATAACTGAATGCAAAGTATTCCTATGAAAGATGATTAAAATCATGATAAGCCCTGGCCGGTTTGGCTCAGCGGTTAGAGTGTTGCCTGCGGTCCAGAGAGATCCCGGTTCGATTCCTGCTAAGGGCATGTACCTCGGTTGCAGTTTGTCCCCGGCCCTGGTTGGGTCGTGTGGGTGGCAGCCACTCGATGTGTCCATTTCACGTCGATGTTTCTCTCTCTCTCACTCCCTCCCTCTCTATCTGAACAAAAAAATAAATAAATCATGATAAAATGGGATGTAGATAAACATATTTGTTTAACTGACCCTCTCCTGATTTCCAGACTTTATATCATCTTTCACCATTTCCTGACTTCTCATGTACTTAGAATCACTAATTATATCCTTATAGTTAGGCTGATTATGTATTTGTTCTTGACTCCTTTAAAACAGTAATTTTCAACTGGTGTTCCACAAGAATTTTTTAAACAGGCAGTACCTGACTATTTAGTGACCTCTTTACCCTTAGACTGTCAAATAAAAAAAAATGACAACAGTCAATACAATAGCTATCCAGTGTGAATGAATCAGATTATGCCTATTCTTTTGGTCAGATTTGCAAAAAATATATTTTTTTGGTGTGCCACAAAATTTTAGTAATTAGTTTAAGTGTGCCATGAGATGAAAAAGGTTGAAAACTGCTGAGTTAGACAAGACCATTTCTAGCAAAAGCAAGAGCCAGAACTCAAACTTAGGCAATCTGACACCTGAGCCAAACGCCCAACTACTATACCCTAATGCCTAAAAATGGCAATACCATCATACATTGGTAAAACACGTTAGTTTAAAAGCACTCTCCCCCATACTAGACTTATGGAGTAATCATATAGTAAATTACCTAAATGTCTAATGTGGTACACCTGAAACTTAGATAATATTGTACATTAACTGCAATGAAAAAAAAGAAAATTTAAACTAATTTGCTATTACGTAGTCTGCCAAGTACTTTTTCTGAGTTTGTTTTTATCTCTAATATTGTTTGACAGATTAAATTTCAAATTTGTGTGGTTAAAAAAAAATTGCTTGTTTAGGTACTATTCTAAATATAGTCAGTAACCATAATTTTAAGCCCAACAGCAGGCCACATTGTCTGCCAAACAGTATTATGCAATCACTCATTTTGCATGCATTGCTTGAGTGCCTACTGCATGCCAGGCGCTGTACTAGTTTCTGTGCCTGTACTGAGGGACTAGAGTCACACGTGTGATCACTGAGCAGAACATTTAAAATTGAAACTGCCTCAGAAGATCTAGATTGACTGCTGTAATTATACATTGTAACTTGTTGGCTATTACAAAAATAAATGAGCACATAAAAATAAAAAAGAGCATCATGAGATGCTCCCAACAACGGGCGATGGGTAGGGAGGACTAAGCCCATTTTCACACGAGGACGCGGGGCCCGGAAAGGTCGCGGTTGAAGTCCAGGGCACCTGTGACTCCCATCCGCTGGGAGGCAGGAAGCCGACCGAAGGTGAGCGGGCTCCCGGCGGCCCGGTGCGCACACGGTTCCCAGGCCGCGGCCTCCTCTCCGTCACCCCAGCCGGGCCCCGCGGCGGGCACAGAGGGTCAGGGCTGCGAAGCCACAGGCCCTCTAAGCCTCCTTGGCAAACTCCGAGCCGGGCACCCCGGGCCCCCCGCCCCTGCCCCGCGCCGCGGCCCCAGGAAGTCCCGCCCCCGCGCACGTGGCCGCCGGCCGGACGGCGCCTCACTCACGCAGGGCCGCGCCGGGGTCCTGTACCGTCGCCGTGCTCCGGCTCCCCGCCTTCGGGATCAGCACGCGGTTCCAAGGCTCCGGGCCCCGCAGCGCCGCGTCCATGTTGCAGGGCGGGGCGGAGGTGGGCCTGGAAAAGGCGGGGCCACCGAAGGAGGGGAGACGAGATGGAGCGGGGGAGGGAGAGGGCGGGGCCGGGGGCGGGGCGGGGGCGGATCCCTCACGAGTCCCGGACGAGCTGAAGGGAAGGGACCCAGCTCGTCCCCGAGCCTAGCAGCATCGCGTGGGAGAGTCTTTTCGGGGATGCGGCGTCCCATCCCTACTACTCAGTCAGACGGGCGAGGGCTCCGTCTGTGTGTGCTAACCCACAGGAAGGCTGCGGCGCAAACCAGTTTGGAACTACAGTACTTCCAGGCGGCGTTTCAGATGTGGAACAGGCCGAGTGCAGTTGGTGCGTGCACCCCCAACTCTGCCGCAGACGGGGCAAGGAAGCAGTTGTCAACTAAGGCACATTCAAACCTGGGAAGAGCTTCTATGAGTTTATTTGAGCCAAAACTAGACAAGTGCGGGGAAGCAAAACCTCAATGGATTAAGATACTGCTTTTGCTCTTTCTTTTATACTTATCAAAAGACGCAAGTGTATTACATGAAATCTACTGGTGATAGATTAGAGAGGTGGGAGAAAGCAAAATGAGGAACCGCCTGGGATTGGATGAAAAGTAAAATGATAGACATATATCTTTTACATAGGTGGGTACAGGATAGTTATCCCCACAACAATAACAGTGAGGGGATTTGTGGTCTCCGCAGAGCGGTGCCTGTGCTCTGAGGGGTCCAGGAAAAGGAAACTTACTTTGACATTCCAAAGATAATGTTATCATAGTTGCAGAAAGACAATAGACAGTCTCAGTTAAGGTAAATGCCAGCCCAGGACACGACTACCTGCCATAAACTGCTTTTAGTTAAAAAGTTTTAATTTCAGACCATTCTTTGTGGTTACGTTAGGTCTTTGAGTTTGCAAGGTCACCATGCAGGCCTTCCCTGAGCTTGTCAGGTTAGCATGTGGCCCCTTTTTGTCCACACCGTGAAATAAAGAGGATAATGCAGAGTAGAATTTTAACACAGGCGTGATTTACTGAGAGATAACCAAGGCTCCTCCTTAGCAATAGCAAAACCTCAGTCACATCAAAGAAACTTGGAAATTGGCTGACTATCCATTCCATCCTCAATATCCAAGACTAGACAAGCTCTTCTGCTCCTCACCTCATTATTATCTTTCTAATAGGTCATTTATCTTTAGCCACACTGATGCCAGCTTACTAAAGGTTTCTATGGTAATGTATTAGAGAGGCAGATAGTGGGTTTTAGAGACACACTGCCAAGGTTCTAATTAAATCTCTACCCCTAGCCCTGGCCAGTTTGCTCCGCGGTTAGAGCATCCTCCGGCAGACCGAAGGGTCATGGATTCAATTCCCCGTCAAGGGCGTGTACCTGGGTTGCAATTTCAATCCCCATCCTGTTTGGGGTCTTGCAGGAGGCAACCAATCGATATGTCTCTCACACATTGATGTTTCTCTCTCTCTCTCTCTCCCCCTCCCTCCCTCCTTTTCTTCTAAAAGGTCTGAGCTGGTGGGAGCTCACATCCACAACGCAAGGCTAATGTAGAGCAAGATAGCTTTATTGCATGCGCCTGGGTGCAGGGGGGCTGAGCCAAAAAGGGTTCAGCCTTGAATAACAATTGGGGTGTAGGTTATATACTCTACTTTCAGCTTCCAGCAGTTCCTGCTGACGTACTCTGCTTGGCCCATTGTACACTTTGCAGTTGGACTGGTCTGGTATCTCATCCTGTATCTGCTGGATGATTTGATGTCTTGCGGATAATCCAGGTAATCCTTATCCATACTCAACAGAAGGCTGAACAGAGGTCATGCAAGCAACACAATTTTTCACAGTTTCCACCTTTTGCATGCTTTTACCTTTACTCTTTAAAACATCACTAACCCTTTCATTCCCATCTTATAATGATGATAAAAAGGAAAAAGGGGCAAAGTTTCTCTTTGTCTACTTCATGCAGGTGCGGGGTCATCGTGGACCCCCAAAAAGAATTAGATAACTTCTTGGGGAATGGGGTGATAGGGTCCTTTTACCTGTGCTAGAACAAATTGTCCAACTTTCTGGTTGACTAAAATTTTGCAGTCGATTTGTATAAACCTAGTAATCAGGCACAAGATGCAGGGACCAAAAAGCAATAATGAGGCTAAGCCTAGGGGCCCTATGAAGGGGAGTAGCCAGGTTAGTTTAGGCAAGGCTGCTCCTATACTTGTCCAGACAGATTGGGCTAGGTAATCCTGACTGAATTATTTTAGCCACTGAGCATTATCTAGAATTCATTGTGTCCTTTCCTCAACATGGTTGGTTGAGTTAACATAGAAGCAACAAGATGTATTTGCTATTATGCATAGACCTCCCTCTTTGACCAGTAAATAGTCTAGTGCAATGCGATTATCTATTACCATGTAGGCAAGAGAGTCAAGGAACTTTGAAAGAAGTTGAAATTTTCACCTGTATCTCTACCTATATTTGCCATGGTGGCAGTTATGTTTTTTGCTGTTTGTGCATTATGAGTAATTCTTACCACGAGGCCTGCAGTGGTAATTGCAGCTATGACTCCTGCTATGAGGAGTCCGACTCCCCTTTTTGCCCTATGATGGCTTCTGGGCTCAGAGCTTGATGAGGTTGAATTAGGGATGAAAGAATGCATTAAGGTATTGGCTGGGGTGACATATCCTACTGGGTTTAGGCATTGAATAGCAATTCCTCTCCTGGGGGCAGAAATGTTTAGTGTACCTAAAACATCATTCCTGCTGGTAGGCAAAGCAGTCCAGTCCTATTTGGGCCTAGGGAGGTGTTTGATAGACTGATAGTAAGGCTTGAATGATTAAACCATGATAGAGAGAGGGGAGGGCTAGTGCCACCGGCAGAACTGCACGCTGGATAGTGACTAATTTCCCTAGGATGGTTTTCTTGGTATTGCTTTAAGTCCCTCTGAGCTTGCACATATAAACTCTCATTGCAGGGGTTAGACACATCATGCATAGTTAGATTGCAGGTACCCCCTGTAAGGTTATAATGAGAGATATTATACGTGGTGCCTGCTTGGTATGTTTGGTTGAGTACAACGTGTCTAGGGTTGGAGGTGTTAAAGATTGTCATGTAGCCATTATATTGGAAGCGACATAAAAGTGTTTGGGTGCTGCCCATCCCTAGTAAATAAGGTGGAGTGCAAGAATGCCTGTCCCCTGGGTTTATGATGGGGAATAGAAGATTGGTGGCTAGAATAGCCTGGGGGAGATGCACACAAGTGGTGGGATTTGTCTTGGTTTGAATAGAGATAACTAGATGAGGATTCGGGTCAAATTTTTCCTCAGAATAGGTGGATTGTAAATAATGTCGGATCAGTTGGCTGGGGTGCCTATGAGGTAAGGAGTCTTCCCAAGGGAAGGTTATTGGTGGCAGACTCATTGGGAAATATGAGAGGATTTGAAGATTTGACGTCCTACAGCACTTGCAGTTTGGAAAATGGAGTTATTTTGCCATATAGTTGCAGTAGCCTTTCGGCATGGGAGTGAAAGTAGGCAAATAGGAATTCGAATTTTCATAATAAAAAGAGCATTTTGAAACTGAGAGCTAGATAGAGTTTCCCTTAGGTATTCGAGTGAGCCTGAGAGAGGTGGGAGAGGTCACCTCTGCTTTCCAGGTGGCCTGATGTTCCTACGGGACTGCCTTGACCTTTGTCCGGTGGATCCAGGGAGGGAGTCCACACACCCTCACAGCTGCTGGTATGCTGCAGATGACTACGTGAGGTCCGGTCCACCAAGGCTGAAGCTTGTCTGAGAACTGGTGGACCAGGACTTCCTTTCCAGCTAGACTATCCTCTGTTCTAGGTTCGGGTTCTGGAAGAGGTAGTTGACAGTTAGCAGCCTCTCGCAGGAGAGTTCTGGTGAGGTTTAGAGCAGGGATATAATCTCCAATAGGAGGTGAAGTATTTCAATAAGGCAGTGCTACTTGTATTAAATATTAGATATGTTTAATACATGTTCCACGTGTGCCTTGTACTCACTCACTTCTCCACCTGGACCATCCTCCTGAAACACAGTCTCCCTTCCTCAGCTCTGGTGCATCATCTCTGAGTAATTCTTCCTGAACATTCCTTCCCCGCTTCATAACCACTTTATGTACTGCTATAATGTGTTGTTGGCCTTTGTATTCACTTCCTGTTGGTGCTGTAAGAAATTACTACAAACATAGTCACTTAAAACTAAAGTACAATCATTATATTACATTTCTGAATGTCAGAAGTCCAAAATCAATCTCAATGGACTAAAGTCAGCAGGGCTGGCTCCTTCTGGGGGGCTGTGGTGGAGAATTCACTTCCTTGCTTTTCCCAGCTTCTAGAGGCCACCTGCATTTTATGGTTCATGTCTCCATCTTCCATTTTCAAAGTCAGTAGCACAGTATCTTCCAGTCTCCCTTCACTCTCTGTCTCATCCTCCTGCCTGCCTCCCTCTTAAAAGGACCCTAGTGATTACATTGAGCCCACCAAAATAATAGGATAATCTCCCCATCTCAGAATCTTAAGCTTAATCATATCTACAAAATCTGTTTTGCAATGTAAAGTAATATAGTCACAGGTTCTGGGGATTAGGATGTGGACATTATTGGTGGTGGGGAAGACATTAGTCAGTCTACCACAGACTCTCACGAAATTTACTTCACTTTATTGTACTAATTTGTATATTTGTATGTCTCCTTCTCCAATGGCATGAGAGTTTGCTGAAGGCAGGACTATCAATATAGCTTACTGATCTTTATATCTCAATGCTTTGCTCAGAGCCTGGCATATAGTAGGACCTCAGTAAATTTTAAGTTTTATTGAGGTGTAATTGATATACAAAGAACTGCACATATTTAATGTGTACAGTTTCATGTGTTTATTGGTATTCACTGGCTGAGTAAGAGACTAGTTGACACTTGAATAATCTTTGGAGGATGAATAGGATTTTCCCAGGCAGATAAGGAAAGAAGGACAGAGAAGTGTTC